GAGATCTAGTTCTAATGCTGCTTTGAATTCAGTAGTCAACAAACCCATCCTGAGGATGTTCATTGTGTACAGTCCCAGGAGAGTATGACATTGTTTTCCTTCATTTTAGGCAGGAAGAAACTCCGACTGTTTGAATATCTTCATGAATCCTTGTGTAATCCTGAGATGGCATCTTGTATTCAGTGGGTAGATAAAAGCAGAGGCATCTTTCAGTTTGTATCAAAAAACAAAGAAAAACTTGCCCAACTTTGGGGGAAAAGAAAAGGCAACCGGAAGACCATGACTTACCAGAAAATGGCCAGAGCATTGAGGAATTATGGAAGAACTGGGGAAATCACCAAAATCCGGAGAAAGCTAACTTACCAATTCAGTGAGGCCATTCTGCAAAGACTCTCTCCATCTTACTTCTTGGAAAAAGAGATCTTCTACTCACAGTATGTTCAACCTGATCAAGGATATCTCAGTTTAAATAACTGGAATGCAACTTATAATTATACATATGCCAACTGCCATGAGCTAAGTCACCCTGCTTGCTAAATATGCTCTTGTATATCATGATTTCCTGGCTTCCGAAATTCCTACGAATTTCAGGATTTTTCTCTTAAAGCAAATACTGAAGAGAAAAATTAACTTAATTATTGCTATGTTTCATTAAATAGCATACAATTTGTACAAAACTTGGTGAGAAATTCTGTCAGTGAACAACTTGAAAATGATCAAGTCCCAGTTGGAAATACAGACGATTATCTATGCAATACTTTATCCTAGATTAACAATGCCAATAGAAATTACTTGATTTATATACTGATTTAAACACTATTTTCCTGTCATACACTCAGACAAAAAAGTCACTCTTTAACATATATCTGATAGCTTTAGTGATAAAACCAGTAATGATTGCATATGATAGTTTTCATGCTAAAATACATTCACGAGTTTAAAAACTTCAGTGGCTACCCTGAACCTGTATTTTCTCTGCACTTCAGATCTCATAGTCTGTAACCTTGTGGCGCTAAAGAAACTATGGTCTAAGGAAAATGCCACCTTCCTTAATGATAATAAATCTCCAAGGCTTATACTTCCCACCAATGATTTCCATGTGTTTCTCTCTTTCCTAGGGTAGATCCACAAGCTAACGTTTCTTGCTATCCTGCCACTCAGCCACAGGGAGGTGCTCTTGCCCTGTTATCGCTCTGGCCCAATTTTGGAATATGATTTCTTCTTCCCTTGAAGTAGCCCATCTGATATCACGTTGGAACAGTTGGAGGAACAAAAGACTTTAATAAAAGATAAAGACTAGGAGATAATAAACCCAGAGAGGAACCAGGACTTAGGCAGCATGGCTTGAAAACTATGGTTTGTTCTCAACATTCCATAAGGAACCCTGGGAGGAAACCCTTTGTTTCTTTCTTCCTGCTCAGTAGGTTCGTGCATATTCCATTGTATTACCATGGAGCAGGAGAGCTTCCTAGACTAGATGGACCATCTTAGTCCAGGCCAGGAGGCCTGGCTAGCCAGCCAAGAGGTCCCTGGAGCCTGGCCTATTTGATTTGCAGCATTTTCCTTTCTCTTTGTGTCTTCCTGGTGCTGTTCCTTCCTCTGACGCTTAGAAAAGAACATGGTGGCCCCAGAATGACTAACTGAAGGCTAACTCTTGGCCATCTCCACATATAGTCTCAGTTTTTTGTTAATGACTGAATGTTTGTGTCCTCCCAAAATTCATATGTTGAAACCTAATCCCCAATGTGGTGGTATTTAGAAGTAGATCTTTTGGAGGTGATTAGGCCATGAGGGTGGAGCCCTCACGAATGAGATTAGTCCCTTTATTAAAGAGGTACCAGAGCTTGCTCACCCCTGCCGGCATGAGGATACAGCAAGAAGACATGTCTGTGAACCAGGATGCAGGCTTTTACAAGACCCTGAATCTGCTGGCATCTTATCTCTGACTTCCCAGCCTCCTGAACTCAGAGAAATAAATTTCTGTTTATAAGCCACCCAGTTTACAGTATTCTGTTATAGCAGCCCAGAAGGACTAAGGCAATTTCAGTTGGTACTAACTTCAAAGTAGGACTCAGCATTTACCCTCATCCCCCCACAAAGAAAATACATTTAATAAAAATTTATAAAGAAGACAAGTTTTGCCAAAAATTGCAGAGAGGAAATGGTGAAGAGGTTTTGCCGTATAAATCATTGAGCCAACAACTTAAAATTCCATCAATTCTCCCCATAGGCTCTCTTATACACAAGGTCAGCTTGAGGGTTCATTTTGACAGTTCTGAGGCCCCAGTCAAATCCAACTCTCACTGTGCACACAGTTTTTTCCTGTTGGGCAGAAACCTGGGCTCTGTCTTTTATCCAGAGTGGGCTAACCAAAGCCCAGTTTCACAAGCAGGTTCTTCGTTATAAAGACATGCTTGTGCCAGCTGCTCAAAGACTCCCTCTCCTTACATTATAGAAAATGATACCCTATTACTCCCTGCCAGCACCCAAGAATAAAGAAGAGAGACTGTAGTTTTACTCACGGCCCCTCATTCTCTGGTGTATGGCGTCCCATTCTCTACTGTGTCACCTTGATCTGATTGGAAGGCTGCTGAACTCTTCTCCAGTGAGTGGGAGTTCTGAGAACCCAAGTCCATCTCATCACAGTGCATCTCAGGTGTAGCCTCCCATTATTTGGTCTCGGCCCAGGTATTAACGCATGAAGTCTTTCCTTCCAAGTACTTCCTTCAAATCACAGGATCCTCCTCTGCACTCTGGTGCTGGAGCTTCTGGTCTTCTGGTTGGTTTATAATTTTCCTTCTCTTCAGTTCTTCCTATTCATAAGGCATAATGTTTTACTTAATATGCAGGGTCCATTTTATAAAGACGAGATTAGAGTGATAGAAAAATTGACACTGGCCTTTAAAAATCAGGAGCTGAAAAGCAATGAAAAAGAACAAACTCCTGACATGTCCAGCAACACTGATAAGCTTCATTAATACATTGAGGGAAATAAAAGCAGACACAAGAGTACATAATGTATGACTCCCATTTATATGCTGTTCAAGAAGGTGGGCATGGGGTGGGAAGGGTAGTAACTTTTGTGCTGAGAACTTGATCCTTTCCCCCATCTCAGCCATTGTGTGTAGGCAGCCCTGCTCAGAGGCACTTCCTTTACTAAATGAAGGGAACAATGAAATGGATAGTAGTATTACAATACATAGTCTAAGAAAACCTGAAATAATACCCTCCTCTCTTCCTCCATCACTGCTTCCTGTCTGCTGCCCGTTGGCAGGTGGAATACGGCACACCCTGGGCATCCAGGGCCGAGTGACACAGACATGGCTCCTGTCATGAAGCTTCAGTTCTATCAATATTTTATCTTAGGTTTATAAGTTTTCTTAATATTTAACCAAAATAGAGTAAACCTCCCAGAGTCTCCGTGTCCTATCATCCATACCTGGGTCCCTCGCTCAGTCCTAAATTGATGACTGGCAAGGGGAAGGGGACAGTTGTGACTGGCTCAGGCCAACTAGGATTGACTCCTGGAGGAGGAAAGGGTCATGATGCGTTGAGTCACAGGAGAGAGGAATGAATACCTGAATAAAGCTGGTGCTTTGCCTGAAAGGACAGCATAACATGTTGAGTTGGAAACCAATAATGTTTGCTGCAGTCCATCTCTTTGACTGCCAGTATCTCTATTCATACTTGAAAAGTGTTTGTGCCTTCAGGGAAATTAGTTTAAATATGTTCTTTTATTATTTTGACATGGTAAGACCAACAGATCAGGAGATGACTGCCATCGAGGAGATACTTTATTTTGCTCACAGTTCCAAGACAGGAACACATTGTGCCAAAAGGACCATATGGAGAAGCACTGGAGTCGGTCATGAGGCAGACGGAGAGGAGAACTGTGGGAAAGAGACTTTACTGTGGTTTCTGCAGGGTGGGATGGGTGAAGCAGGTGGGTAGGCTTAGGACTGACTACTATGGGTAACTTAAGTGGCTCTAGGGCAAAGGGGCTTCCCCTAGTTGCCTGGTACCTGGTCCTGGAGTGGTCAGGATGGGCATACAGTGGTCCAGAGTATGAGAGCCCTATAGGGGAGGTGGTCAGGGGTGTAGGCTCTGGATTGGTTGGTTTGTATTTTAAAATCAATTACATGCCTGGGAGGAAGGCGAAGAGGGTGGCAGTTGGGTAAGGCAAGGTAACGCAGGCATATCTGCGCTGTCCAAAACAAGGTGTGTCTGGCATATACGTGCAGGGCAGATAAAGCAACAACTTTACAGAAGCTAGAATCATGGTTAATACAAATGTTCAACTGCCTCCGCTGATCTGTGACTGTATTAGCGGCTCGGCAATGGACTACAATATAAAGTCTGAATGAGGAGGGCAAGAGCAGAAAAGAACTCCCACTTGCTTTTCTGTAACACATATCCTTCCAATTGCACAGGAAGTGTGAGATTTCTGCCTGGAAGAGGAGTACGTTGCTTGTTAGTCAATCAGGCTGTCTGCAGGGAGTACCATCTGCCATGTCCTTTATGATCTCTGGTTCTGCCTCCTGAGATAATCTCCCAGTTAAATTTTTTCTGTGGTCGTATCTGAAGTGGGCATTTGAAAGATGTATTTTCTTAGTACTAAGCAGCACTACATTAAAACGCATTCAAAAGTCTGAGATTCCCAATTCCACATTTGAGCATTTGCTGACAACACCCTACTCCCCATACTGAATTTTGAAGCAGAAAACTTTCTTTTTTATTGAAGTATCATTGATATGCAATCGTATATTGGTTTCAAATACACAACACAGTGGTTCAACAGTTACCCATGTTATTATATCCTAGTGCAGTTACTATCTGTCAACATAGGAAGATATTACAGAATCATTGTATTCTCCATGCTGTACTACCATCCCCATGACCACTTTATGTTACAATTGAGAACTTTTGTGACCTTTTATCTCCCTCATGCTCTCCACCAACCCACCCCAACCCCTGCTCCATGGTAACCATCATTCATTACTCAGTGCCTGTGAGTATACTGCTATTTTGTTCATTTTGTTTTGTTTTGTTTTTAGATTCCACAAATAAGTGAAATCACATGATATTTGTCTTTCTCCACCTGGTTTATTTCACTTAGAATAATATCCTCTAAGTCCATCCATTTTGTTGCAAGTGGCAAAATTTCTTTTTTATGGCTGAATAATATTCCATTGTGTATATGTACCACATCTTTTTTATCCATTCACCTATTGATGGACACTTTGGTTGCTAATGTAAATAATGAGGCAGTACACATAGGGGTGCATATATCTTATCAAATCAAGGATTTTTTTTTCCTTTGGGTAAATTCCTAGAAGTGGAATTACTGGGTCATATGGTATTTCTATTTTTAGTTTTTTGGGGAACCTCCATACTGCTTTCCACAATGGCTACATCACTTTACATTCCCACCAACATTCTCCACATCTTCATCAACGCTTGTTATTTCTTGTCCTTTGGATAGTGGCCATCCTAACTGGTGTGAGGTGATATCTCATTGTGGTTTTGATTTGCATTTCCCTGAGGATTAGCGATGTGGAGCATCATGTGCCTGTTGGCCATCTGTACATCTTCTTTGGAGAAATGTCTGTTCAGGTCCTCTGCCTCTTTTTTTCATTAGGATAATTATTTGTTTCTTTGGTGTGGAGGCATGTAAGTTGTTTATATATTCTCCCATACTGTAGGTTGCCTTTTTGTTCTGAAGCAGTAAACCCTCATGGTTGTAGCTAAAATAAGCCATGACTTACTGAAGTATTCATTGGGGTTTATGAAAAAGTATTATATGGCTTACAGCAGTTCTGAGAGATATTCTGGACAATAAGTAGCCAAACATAAAGTCCCAAACCACATCAAAGATCTGGCCAAATGAGGACATCACTATCATTAGCAGTTACTAGATTCCTCAGTTTATGTCATCTGACATGTCATTGGACAGAGCTAGCATAGCATCCCTGGCACCCCCAAAAACTATCCTGCTGCAACTGCCATTGTATTGAGAGAAGGCTCTGCACCCTCCCTTCTGTACATCACTGGGTACCCATCCAAATTCTGGCAAGGGAACTTCTGATTGCCTGAGGCTTGGTCTTGTACCCATGCTTGACTACAAAAAAGTCAATATCTGGAACTTTCCATTTTTGTACTGGGAGATTGTTTCTGTATCTTATCAAGTCTCATAAGGTCAAGAATTCCCCAAACATAGGAAGGGGTTCAGATGCTGGGCAGCCAAAAGAATGACAAGGTTCATTAGAATTTTTAACTAGAGTAACAAGGATCAGAGCATGTATAGTTTAATTCTGAAGACCTTTGCCCTACCTGGCTAATCTCCAAAAACAAAAAATTCTCTTTGTTCTTAGTACTTCTGTGGTCATAGGAATTTAAATAGTCTCTAAATAACTTTTCCTTATCTTTCCAAAAAGGCAATTTCAGCACTGTATTTAAACTCTCCAAATACCAAGTAAAATTGCAAGCTTATATTTCTGAAGTTAATCTGAAACTAATCTAAGAAATTAAAGCCTGTAATTTCTAACTTTCTCTATGTGGAGGTTTTATTCATATGTTTTCCTTGGTTCAGGAAGCTCTTATAATGTTCCAGTTTCATGATTTAATTTAACTGGGATTAAGTTTGAAGAGCTCAAAGGAATATAATCAACCAGTTACAATTATAAAAGATGACTGATATTAACAACTGATAAAAGAACTCATGCCAAGAGCATTTCCTTGTTGTCAAAGCTTGCTCTGAGAACATGAGGGATACATTGGAAGTGCTCGGGGTACAGAGGACCCTTAGGAGCAGCCCTCAATCAATGACACACGGGAATCGGTAAGTACTTACCTCTTTCTCTTCACCCCTTAGTTGGAATAATGCTGAGACATGTTCTTACACTTCCCTATTCCCCTAATGCTGTTTCCTGGAACCGCCTCTCAAACTACCAGCATTCGTGTTCTTGTCTCATTGCTGGCTTCTGGAGGAAGGGGAGGGAAAACACAAGCCAATGACTGAATTGATGCTCAGTTGTACGAATTATGCATGAGAGCAGTAGAACCAGCAGATAGAACTTACTGGAATACTAGTATGTTTGCTATTTCCGCTCTCTGTCTCTCCTCTTTCAGTTAGGCTATCCCGTGAGTCAGGGTGGGTGTTAGCAGCCCCATGTTATAAGTGGAGAAACTGATGCTGGACGAATTTAAGTATCTTTTTTAAAGTCATCCTGCTAATGAGTATCCCACTCTCAGTTTGAACTCAGGTCCATCTAATTCTTTCTGCTATGCCATACTGTCTGCTGATGTAAAGACTCTCATAGCATGCATTAATGTAGGTTCTTTCCTGGGCCAATGCTAGATCTTCATAACGTCACTTTGCAGAAAAGCCTTTACTAAGTTTATTCAATGCTATTAACAAAAATCACATATAAAATAACCACCTGCTCTCTGTCACTGTTAATGGGAGTGTGCATTAGTATAACATAATTAAAAATTGATACATTTTTTATTTTTATCAA